AATCGCCTAACATCCTACAAAATGTTTAATATCTAAAAAGCCACGAAACTAACTGAGTTTCTTTTTGCCAGGTTTTCAGATAAAGATGCTGAGCCATCTTGACACCATTTGCCCTGAGAATCACTCTAATTCACTTTGAGTTATTCAGCTAGAGAGAGAACAGGTTAAAATCATTTTGTGCCAGACGCGCTGTCTTCCCAAATGAGCAATGGTGAGAGGAAAAAGATCATTCCGGTCATCAGTGATGGTGCCAACATTCATACTGTGGCTTCCATTTTCAAAATTCTTTGAAGAACCATCATGAAAACGGTGAATGAGTTTAAAAAGTGTGAACAGTAGAGAGGAAAAACGGAATCAGGAGATTACAACCGCAAGAGGGATCATCATTTCAACTTAGAGCTAAAGAGATCAATTAGAAAAAAAAATCCAACTCCATCCATAAGGAATTTGGCACGTGAGAGAGTAGTTTCAGCTATGACAGTTTAAAGAGCAGTGAAAAAGGACTTGAAAATTCTACGTGAAACCTGAGGGACCCAGTTACTCCAGGACAGAAAGTTAGAAGGTTAGAGAGGGCGAAGATCATGTTAAGTTTGAAAATTATCCTGCAATATTATGTATATATTTGAACTTAATTTCAATCCTTCATGAGCTTCCGATCGTTAGCTATGATTAATTAATGATTTACACGCCATTTTCGTTTATGATCGATTTCATAAACATTCCTATATTAAGCTTAGAGAGTAATTATATATTCTTATTGCTCAAAGTCGAGTTCAATAGTGCTAGAAAAACCTCGGAGAATTCCAGTAAGATATCTTGAATCATTTCTAAAATACATTGGTTCAAAGCTTAATCTAACAATTGGACAATTTCGTTGTTACTGCCTATATATATATATATATATTAGTAGCACGTTTTGGGATAAAATAAATAAAAGTTATTAAATTTCGTGGTTTTAACATATTGTTATGAAGAAGAAATGTTCATACAACTGATTACATGATCTGTCTCAAAATAATATTCAAAAATTTTTAAGACAAATATAAGATAGCTCATTGCTCACGGAAGTAGACGAAGTAGTTTGCATTGATGAGAGGAAAAATTTAGAAGCCGATAATATAATTGGCGGGTAATTTTACACTGGCGGGAACTTCAACGCGGGTGGAAATCAGAAAACACTATTCCGTATGAAACACTGACGAGGGCAGCAGAAGTAGTCGAAATTTTTTAAGATTTCCCAAACCTTTACTGCGCTCCAACAGATCAAAAAGTAAACCGAATGTATCTTTTACATCACTATATTATCACTGGGTATGACGATAAACTATATCCGGCAGCAAGTCGTCTTCTGATCGGGAGATTGGAGGTTTCCAGTAGCGTCAAACCATCTCTAAATTACTGTTGTTCTCAGACCTACTCTGACCCAGAGTGGTGGCACCTGGTAGGGTCCAAGCTTTGCGCAAATAATGAACTCTCAAAGACAATATATGAAAGTATAAAAATACATTTTTAGAGTAAAATTACAAACAATACTTATTTATAGTAGAATTAGCAACAATACCTATTTATACAAGAATTAGCAAGAATACCTATTTATAGTAGAATTAGCAACAATACATTTTATAGTAGAATTACCAACAATACATTTAGAGTAGAATTACCAACAATACCTATTTATAGTAGAATTACCAACAATACCTATTTATATTAGAATTACCAACAATACCTGTTTATATTAGAATTACCAACAATACCTATTTATAGTAGCATTACCAACAATACCTATTTATAGTAGAATTACCTACAATACCTATTTATAGTAGAAGTACCAAAAATACATTTTATAACAAAATAACGAACAATACAATGCGTTCAAAATATTTAGTTGAAGCCATAAAATTCTCATCAAAATATTTAGATTTCGGCACTAAATAACCCATAGAGATGTTGATACGCCGCTAAACAAAATCAACCATCCAACAAACATGAAAACCTCTTTCATGACATGTAATATCCTACAATTATTTAAAGAAATCAAACTATATTCCAAAATATAACTTCAACATTAAACACATATATCACCGTCTCCTAGTAACTGTGTCCACACAAACATGTATATGCACAAAGGCTGAGTTTCATCTACCATGTATTCAATCGTGAAAGAATAACATATTTTTATCACTTCAAAGCCCCCAATAAAATTAAATTTCGACATTAAATGACGCAAAATAGTTGATATGCCGTAAAACAAAAAAATATCACTAATATATATATATATATATATATATATATATATATATATGTAAGCAAATATATGGATATAGATCCGACAGTATGAAGAAAAATATACGGAAAAAACAAAACAAAAATCCTTATATACGATTATGCTGTTTTAATGTTAAACGTGACCATGTTTTAAACGGAGCGCTGATATTATAAAACTTTCAGTTATTTGCTTGGATAAGTTTTGTCCTAATGTACATCGTCTTTGTCATGTTGTATTGATAATGTTATATGTTTATAATGTTATATTTATGAATAAGTCCTGAAGATGGTTTATTAGACCGAAACGTCCGACGTTGACATATTAACATTAAAACAGCATAATCGTATATAAGGATTTTTGGTTTGTTTTTTCGTATATATTTTTCTTCATATATATATATATATATATATATATATAAAAAAGGCAAGTTAAAATAGACTGGATGACATGGGCAATTTGTATAATCTATTAAATATGAATTGGTTATTTAAAAATTTTTGATTGATGTATGTTCGAAAATGAATAATATAATTGGATATATTATTAAGGAAAAATACCGCAGTTTTGAATGCCAGCAATTTTATTTTGTTCATATTTGCTGCGATGTGTATATATATATATATATATATATATATATATATATATATATAATGTGTCCTTCGACAGGAACCGAGCCTCTATCCTACACGTGACTGTCATATAGTCTGACGAGCTATACCATTTAGCTACGGAGGAAGCGTCTGGTTGGTAAAGTCGGGAGACACATATTTTGTATGAAATTTCTTGGACGTTCAGGCCGATAAATGTTATTAATACTGTTTATTATAAACAGAGCATTTACTCTAATATTTCTATCTCTAAAAATTAACGTATAAACAGAAAATATATTAAAAATAATTGTCGGATTTAGTCCATTTCATAATATATATATATATATATATATATGAATATTTGACTCTTCTCAGCACTCATGAGGTTGATTATTGTAACTGTAAATTTGAAGTTACAAACACATTATTTCAATTGTTGTAGATATAGATATCAAAGCTGACATTCGTAAACATAAAATTTATATTTAAAAGCATAAACATGCGTTAATAGATAATAAAATATATTTTCAATGCAGTTATTATTGTCCCGATGAGATTGAAAATGACGAAACTGAATCGACCTCTGACAAGTACTGATCTCCGTTGTTGTTGTTGTCGTTATCATTATTGTTGTATTACTGATGTTATATCGTCGTTATTGTTGTTCTTATTGCAGTAATGACTATCGTCGCTGTTATTGTTTTCGTACGCTTAGAAAAATCACCATAGTAAATCATGTTGTCTGTGCTCGGTATGACGATGAACTACACCCAATAGCCAGACACTTGATCAGCAGGTTTTGAGGTACGTGGAAACACCTCTTAATTGCTGGTGTTCCCAATAATCGGAAATTAGTTAACCCCAAAAACAAACAAACAAACAAACAAACAAACAAACAAACCTACCAACCTACCAACCTTCCTTCCTTCCTTCCTTCCATCCATCCATCCATCCATTCCTTCCTTCCTTCCTTCCATCCATCCATCCATCCATCCATTCCTTCCCAGAAATAGATTTTTCGAAGGAAAAAAATATTACCAGCAATACATTTTTGAAAATAAAAAAATATTACCAACAATAAAAAATCTTGTCGCTATTTAAAAAAAAAAAAACTTTGACGAGTTGATATGCCGTAAAACAAACCAAATCATGTTGTTTGATTGACAATATTTATTTCGGAAAATACTGTAGTTTATTTTTATTCAATAAAAATCATTGAAAAGGGCGTAACTTTTGCTGACCCCTGTATATATTAATCATCTACCCTTCCCCCGCTCCCAATCAATGCGATAATGCCACTAAGACGCAAGTGTTTATTGGGCCGAAAGAAAATGAGAAGACTTTACGATAAGGAACCGGAAACCCAATCCTAAACAGGCAACAAGTGTAAAATCTTTACTGGTGTTCAAAAGACGAGAAAGGAGTGTGAAGCGGGCGATCAAAAGACGTGAGAGAGTGTGTGTGTGTGTGTGTGTGTGTGAGTGAGAGAGAGTGTGTGTGTGTGTGTGTGTGTGAGAGAGAGAGAGAGTGTGTGTGTGTGTGTGTGAGTGAGAGAGAGAGAGTGTGTGTGTGTGTGTGTGAGAGAGAGTGTGTGTGTGTGAGTGAGAGAGTGTGTGTGTGTGAGTGAGAGAGAGAGTGTGTGTGAGTGAGAGAGAGAGTGAGTGTGTGTGTGTGAGTGAGAGAGAGAGAGTGTGTGTGCGTGTGTGAGTGAGAGAGAGAGAGAGTAAAGAGTAAAATTGGTTGAGAATTTCAAGGTTTTCGCTCAGACGAATAGATAGTGAGTGCCAGGAACTACCGAAATTCCTAAAATTAATATTCCTGACTCTCCTATTTTTGATTTAGCGCCTGTTCTTACGAAATTAATATTGAAGTAATGCGAGATACATAACACTCGAACAATGAAATGAATAAATGAAAAAAAAATGGATTAAAATCAGTAAAAATATAATTTCTATAAAGTAAAAAAGCAAGCGGTTCATTTGCTTATCGATGTCCGATTTCCGCCATTATTTATGGGTTAAGCTGACAGTGTGTATTGTTATCATTCGGACGTTTTGGGATTGCGAAAATATTCAAGCTATTCTCATTAGATTTCAAACTGATACGATGATCAGATATTTATAATTTTGTACTTGACGCTCTTTCTATTGGTGGGTATTAGTATGTTTAGAGAGTGGGAAGGAAGGACAAGAAAGAAGGAAGGAAGGAATAGAGAGAGAGAGGGAGGGAAGGAAGGAAGGAAGGAAAGGAGAGAGTGAATGAAGTGTGAAGGAAGGGAGAGTGGAGGAATGAAAAGAGAGTGCAAGGAAGGAAGAGAGAAAGAAGGAAGGACGGAAGGAAGAGAAAGTGAACGAAAGATGGAAGGAAGGAAGGAAGGAAGGAAGAGGGTGAAGAAAGAAAGGAAGGGAGGAAATGAGAGTGAAGGAAAGAAAAGTGAATGAAGGAAGGAAGAGACAGTGAAGGAAGGGAGAGAGTTGAAAATAGAAGGAAGGAAGGAAGGAAGGGAGAGTGCAGGAAAAGAGAAGTAGAGGAAGGAAGGAAAGAAGGAAGGAAGGAAAAGAGTGGGGAAGGAAAAGAGAGGGGAAGGAAGGAAGGAAGGAAGGAGGGGAGGGAGGGGAGTGGAGGGAGGAAAAGAGAGTGCAGGAAAAGAGAAGTAGAGGAAGGAAGGAAGGAAGGAATGGAGGGAGAGTTGTGGAAGGAAAAGAGAGGTGAGGAAGGGAGGGAGGGAGGAATGGAGGAAGAGTTGAGGAAGGAAAAGAGAGGTGAAGGAAGGAAGGAAGGAAGAAATGAAAGAAGGAAGGAAGGAAGGGAAGAAGAGTTGAGGAAGGAAAAGAGAGGTAAAGGAAGGAAGGAAGAAAGGAAGGGAGGGAGGGATGGATAGAGGAAGAATTGAGGAAGGAAAAGAGAGGTGAAGGAAGGAAGGAAGGAAGATAGGAAGGGGGGAGGGAGGGATGGAGGAAGAATTGAGGAAGGAAAAGAGAGGTGAAGGAAGGAATGAAAGAAAGAAGGAAGGAAGGACGAAAGAGAAAGTGAAGGAAAGAATGAAAGGAAGAAAAAGGAAAAACGGAAGGAAGTGGAAGGGATGTTAAGGAGAGAAAAGAGAGTGAAGGAAGAGAGAGTGAAGGAAGGAAGAGAGAGTGAAGGAAGGAAGGAAGGAAGGAAGGAAGAGAAAGCGAAGGAAGGAAGGGAGAAAGGAATAGAGTGTAAAGGAAGGAAGGAAGGACGGAAGGAAGGAAGGAAGGAAGGAAGGAAGGAAGGAAGGAAGAGAAAGCGTAGGAAGGAAGGAAGGAAGGAAGGAAGGAAGGAAGGACGAAAGAGAAAGTGAAAGAAAGAAAGAAAGAAGAAAGGAAGGACGGAAAGAAGTGGAAGGGAAGTTCAGGAGAGAAAGGAAGAGACAGTGAAAGAAGGAAGAGAGTGTGAAGAAAGGGAAAAAGGAAATGAGTGTAAAGGAAGGAAGGAAGGAAGGAAGAGAAAGCGAAGGAAGGAAGAGAGTGAAGGAAAGGAGAGGTCTAAGAAAAGGGTGGGCAATAAGGAAAGAAGAGAGAGTGAAGGAAGGAAAAAAGAGTGGATAAAACTAAAAGAGAGGTTTTCATCTTTTGTTCCAGACCCCCATCTTTGTCTTACATTCCATCATTCTTTCTCATTACGTGTTTTGTTTGTTTTTTTCTTGTTTTTTTTTTTTTGTTGTTGTTGTTGTTTTCCTGCAGACTGTTCTATTAACCTCGACTTGGTGGTATCGAAGCCGTCTCACCCCCCCTTCAATTCCGCCAACGAAGCGAACAAATAAATAAATAAATAGAATAAAAAGATCCTTAAAAAGTTTGAGTATGGAATGGAAGGATAATAACAAGAAGGCCTCAGGAATCTAAAGGAGGGTTGAAGAGAAAGATAAAAAAGAAAATCACCTTTGAAAAAAAAATAAAAATAAAAAAATAAAAATAAAATAAAATGTAACGATTATTTGATTTTTTTTTGTTTTGTTTTTTTCGTTATTTTATTTATTTTATTTTTGTTTTTACTCAAGAATAAAGACACGCCCGGGGCAAGATTTTTCTCGCTTTTGTTTCCAATGGACAGAATTGCATTTCAATGTAGATCGAAGGATTGTCTTGGACGGCAGTACCGTTCGCTGAATCGTTTTGCAATACTGAATCGGCGATTGTTCTTTTGTTACAATTGTTATTCGCAGTTCACAATGCACCCCCACCCACCCCAACTCTTGAAATTTTATTTGTTATTGATTGATTAAGTGACTGATTACACAAAGCATGTACTTCATATCTGTTTTATCTACGCCAGTCTTTTTTTTTTTTTTTTTATATATATATATATATATATATTCTGGATACTTCATTAGAAAAACGAACGGAGAAAGAAATGAACAATTCTAAATTCGCAAAAATATATGAATTGACAGCTCAAGCAAAGAAATGGGATTTGAAAAAAAAAAAAAAAAAAAAAAAAATTCGAGGTTCATGTTAGGGGAAACTTTCCACACTGGCTGGATTAAGACATATCCTTCACAAGACAAAAAAATGGATAAAAAGCAAGGTCATTGTGTACATCAATGTAATACTAGACATAAAATTTAATAAAACATTTAAGAGAAAGAGTATTCGTCGATCAATTTTACGGATCAATACAGTATTTATTGACGACAAATCACACACACACACACGCACACATTTATATATATATATATATATATATATATATATATATATATATATGCAGATATGTAGAAAAATAGGAAAGAACACGTTAGGTAAATAATCTTTAGTTCTTTAGTATTTTTGTTTATATTTAAAAAAAAAAAAAAAGTTCTCCATACACAAGTAGAGCTTAAATTATAATCATTTTTTTTTAAATATGATTCCTTCGCTACATAAGAGTTCTCATGTTTCAAAAACGAGAGCCTAAAATGGACACCCCCACCGTACCTCGTCTTGACCTCTTTCCGAAGGTGACTGATATGTGGATAAAAATTACCTCTTTAGACCCCTTACCAAAATGGTGACCCCAGCCGTTTCCATAGTAATTAATTCTGCGAATGAACATGTTCATAAAGACGCGTAAACTTCAAGATTGGTTATTCCTAAATTTTCGTTTGAGGATGAAACAGGGCTTGATACTTTAATTCAATTTAATTTCAATAATTATATTGAGGCTTTCGGCTCTCGTTTTTGAAACATGAGAACTCTTATGTAGCGAATGAATCATATTTTTCAAAAATATAATTATAATATATATATATATATATATATATATATATATATATATATTAATCGGAATCCCCTCATGCAAGGCAGTAAAGCCACTAAAACACAAGAGGTTACAGGGTGTGAAAGAATCAGGAACAGAAAGAATAATGGTAAGTACAAAGAAAAGACACTAATCAGGCGGACAGTAGATAGGGATTGACATTGCATTTAAAATTTTGCAAATTGTTATACCGTACCTATGGACTATAATGGGTATGTCCCAATGGGTATCCGAGCCCGTATGTACGGGCTCGGATACCCCACAATAAACTTGGCCTTGTGCCTCATCCGACCGCGTGAAGCGGTAGGTGAATATCTTCACTATGGTCTTCCACAGTGTGATTGTCAAACTCACTGCCTCCGGGCAGAGAGGAACCCAGACGAGTGTATGTCGAAGGGCAGAGTCTCGTCTGGGGAGGTATACATCTACCCGACCCCGTGTATACGGGTAATTTTTGCCTCAGCCTACGGGCTTGGAACTACACATTAAACATGGCCTTGTGCTGCATCCGACCGCATGGGGCGGCTAGTGAATATTTCACTGTAGTCTTCCACTGTGTGCTTGTCAAACTTTCTGCCTCCGGGCAGAGAGTATCCCCAGACGAGATTTTGCCCTTCGACTTTGCCCTTTGGAAATGTATCGGTGGGGGATTAAATAAAATATACATACGTTCTTTTCATCCCACTTCAAATGAACTCAAAAGGAATTTCTTACTAGGTATACAATGAGATATAATTTCCGATCTTTGGTTTAAAAGTTTTTGGGGTCTGTAAATGTTATTGCAGTTAATTTCTCTTATTGACAAAGGTTGCAGATGTTGCTATGGTTGTTGTAAGGTTTAGCTTCTTTTTTTTTTTTTTTTTAAATTCCTGATGCATTTATGTATGTATGTATGGATAGACAAAAAAATTTACAATTATATACATATTTTAAAATTTATATTTTGTGATAATATACATATATATTTATAGTAGTAGGTATCCATTCGTCTTGCGAGACAAAGGTAGCCATCGATTTGGACAAAATTCGGCCGCTTGGTAGTAAGACTGTAGTGATCTCTCCAAGACGAAGGTCTGGGCGATGGATTATGTAGGCCGTGTGCTGGCCAGACAACAGGCCCCTCGCACACAACCGTATCGACAAGACCCGACGGAATACAAGGTGGTTATGTAAGTTAACATGGAGCAGCAGAGTGAAAAACTCTTACTCACATTAATCCTAATAATGCTCTTTCTTTGATATTGTGCACTTTATTACAAAGTCTGCTCGCCTTTTCTTTCAAAACCCACGGAACTTATTGACTGTCAGCAGTTTCATATTATCTATCTATCTATCTATCTAAGTTTGTTCTGATCTATCTATCTATCTCAGTCTGTTCTTATCTATCTATCTATCTATCTATCTATGTCAGTCTGTTCTTATCTATCTATCTATCTATCTATCTATCTATCTATCTATCTCAGTCTGTTCTGTTCTGATCTATCTATCTAAGTCTGTTCTGATCTATCTATCTATATGAAATAGCCCAGTGAAGATATATAAATATATGTGCACGTGTGCATGTATGTATGTATGTACTTATATATATGTGCATGCGTATATATAAGTATTTACCATTCAAGCATTAATATAATTAGTAATATATATATATATATATATATATACACAATAATATTTATCATTTAAGCATTAATGTCACTTATTTATGTCAAACGAAATACAACTTCCCGAGCAAAAAAACAAAACAAAAAAAAAAAACAGAATGCCTATAGATAAAAATAGAAATCGGCCACACCCCTAGAGATGTACAAATCCAGACAAAATCAGCAACAGACAGAAAAGGAAAAAAAAAAAAGAAAGAAGGTTAAATAAGTGAGTGTAAAGTAAAAAAAGAAAAGGGGATTGATATGCCCGTCTACGAAACTCTGGAGTCGGGATGCTGAAGGTAACATCAGTCAGCTAAGTGAAAAAACTTTTACTCACATTAATCCTATTAATGTTCTATCTTTGATACTGAGTACTTTATTGCTTGCCTTAAATGTCTTTTCTCTTAATGTTCTATTGACAGACGTCATTTTTGGCTTCATAATATCTTTGACATTGCCTTAGCAATATAATTATTCTCAGTTGAGTACTTTTGCATTTTTTTGTTTTTGTTTGCTCACTTTTTCACAGCATTCAATTCATGCGATTGTATTTTCTAAAAAAAACAAACCATCTTACATCAACATGGAATCAACACAATTTAATTACTACTTAAAAATATAACAATATCAAACCTACATGACCACAAAATCAAACTAATACAAAAAGTAGAATACTCCATAAAACGCATACGATGGAAAGTTTTCTATTTCAACAACAATGACAATGGTGACAATTGCACGGATAATGCCAATAATATTAACAAATTTAGCTTTGCATCAATGAAATGCCCACCACAACAAACGACTTCATTGCATTTGATAATAATTTAACAAACATAATAATTTGGAAATAAGAAAATTCAATAATAATTTCACAAAAACCCCAAAAAAGACTCGAAAAATATAAAAAAATGATAACTCCAAAAAATATTTATAAAAGCAGATAAATCCAGGATAATCTATAAGATGGAAATGAACAATTACAATAAACTAGATGACAAAGAAGTCACTAAATTTAACAAAACTACTAATACCAAAAGTGATATAAACAAAGAAGCTAAAAACATGGCCACTAAAATAAAATTAGTGTTATGGTCCGGTTCTTTGTACCACGGCGATAGAACCAATAAAGAAGAATTCGAAGGCAGATATGGAATAACACAGATATATCACAAGCAGGAATATATACAGAGAAGTAGAAAAGTGTTAGTACGAACAATCAGGTTTAGTAGCAATTGTCTGAACACGACTCTGTTTCGGACTGCCTCTGACTCGACTGACTGACTCGCTCGCTCTGACTCATTGACTGACAGACTCCTGACGGACATCACTCCAGACCTCAGACTTGACTTCAGACTTCACTCCAGACTCCAGACTGAACTCCCTGCTTCCTCTTGAGGCACAGTATTTAATTATGTTATTATGGGTAAGGTCCCATAACAATTAGACAACAGGATAAAACAGGTAGCAAAAGTAGAACGATTTATTAAGTTAAAAGACCATAAGGACAACTCCATTAACAAACCAACATGCAGATTACTAAACCTCACAGAAAGCAATACTGGGAAAATAAGCAAATTAATATCAGAAAAAAAAGCCCAAAACTAAGAAACATACTGAACATAAATCAATGGAAAAATACAAAAGCAACAATCAATTGGTTCAATAACATTAGTAACAAAGAA